GCCCTGATGCAAGTTATTTCTTTGTGGCCCCTAAATTTATAAGCGTGCATATTTAGAGGGTTGAGTATGTTATATTAAAATTATTTTGAATATGCAAGTCACAACAGCCACAGCAAATATAAAGTCATGATGGAGTTCCATGTCTCAGAACTACATTTGGACATTGTTGTTTCATAGATGGCATGATGCCTCTCAAAATTTGTCGTTTTGGGAGTAAAATATTATTACGTTCAAATTGTAAAAATAAGTGCTTTCCAAGATAGGAATACCCTTTTTACATAATGGTGTTGGGGAACTAAGGCCATCTAGAAAGATACATGCAATAAGTGGCCCCCAGAACAACTCCAGAGGTATCTGAGAGTAGGAATAGTATCAAAAGCATTAGATATCATCACAAACCAACCCATATTTAGCAGATTTCCATCTACAAATGACACTAGCAGAAGAGGACTACCAGTAAGATCAAAGCTTTGGTCTTCTATGTTAGGGAGGAGGATCAGCAGTAGCAGAGAGCTGAAGTAGAAGGTGAGGCACTAGCTAGCACACATCAAAAGCATGGTCAAGCCCGAAATAAGGTGAGGGCAACTATGGTGGTCAATTAAACGACAACTGCCACATTTGAGAATCTGCTTGTAGGATTACAATGAGAAGAGTGAAGTCTCATGCTTGCCATGGGTGAATAGTGTACATTTCTTTTTAATTTAAGTGTGTGTTTGCGAATGTTATATATATTCCTGTATTTCTTTAAAACTATTTACTGGTAATTTATATCAAACGTGAACCATTTTCATATTTAAAATTTATGTCTGTAAATATACTTCCTTTTTTTTATTTTGTTGAATAAATAATGTTATTTTTGGAGTGTTTACTTTCGTTCCTCATTAACATGGTTTTTGAATAAGTACATTTAAAAGTATTTAATGTTTTCTTCTTTTTTAGTTTTGGGTGTACTTTTTCTAGTCCCACGTAATACTGGATTTTGTAATTTTGGTATTGTGATTTACTTTAAAGGATTTATTTATTTGTGATTACACAGATTTTAATGTGTTTAGTGTTTCTCTTGCACAACAAATATATGTCTGGTGTTTTACTTTGCGAATTTTTATTAAGTAGCAATTATATTATTGTATTTAAAGGACGCATTTCTGCTTTCTCATCTTGTATGAATTGTGTTTTAAGTATCTATGTTATCTTCTTATAGGGTTCACTTTATATCTTGTTTGATTTAATGTTATTAAAACCATTATTTGTGTTAAAGGGTATTGCTTTTCTACTATATTTTATGATGTCTGGCAAATTGTGTAATTGTTAAAGTATCTGTTTCAAAACTCGGTTTGCTTCCAAAACTTGTATTCACTGTTAAAACATTTTTGCTTTTTATTTTGTGAAATTCTGAGTTGGATTTACATAATACTTATTAGAATATATTTTCATTTCTAATGTGAAATTTACGTAATTTTGATATTAAGGGTTTTGATCATTGTACTTTTATGATTCAGTTTTTATTTGAAGTTATAATTTTTGTGGAAGTGTTTTGTTGTCTTTATTTACAAGGGTGATAGAAGGTTACAGTGCTCCCTGCATAACACATGGTTATAAATTTGATTAATTTAAAGATAAAATTAATGTAATTTTGAGGACAAGCCTTAAACAGAGGGGAGGAAATGTGTGGTAGGCATACCATGCATTTCTATCTTCTTATTTTAATATAATAATATTAAAAAAATTATGTTTATTTCAAATAGATGCAACTTGTTCAATAACTAATCCCCTATCAATTTAATTTTCAATTTCAAACAGTTTCATAAAAGTTCATTGTTCAATGATGTCTTCTCTCGGAAATACTGCCAATAAGACAAGGACGAACCTTCACAGAACTGAGCAGTTCAGCCCTCTAAGACTGTGCTTTCTTTAGAAAACCTCCTTCAATTAACTTTGGATTCTTTCAAATTTTTTTGAAGAAATGATGACCCAAACACAGCATGTCAGCAATGAGGTCCTTGCTTTAAGTAAAATACTCTTTAGGACTCACAATAATCTGATCCATAATACATCTGAATACTTCAACGCTTAGAAGCCGCAGTTTACCACCAGTTGACCTCTTATCAAACTAAGTTCCACCAGTCGTACATCTTTTGTCTTTTTAGCAATGTTTTTAATGGTAAGCTTATATCGTACCTCCACAATGTAAGAAATATTTTCATTCTCAGCAACTGTTTCATTTGTCTTAGCACAAGAGCTCGCAGTATTTTCCTTGATCAAACAAAAATCCGCTTTTTTTTTTTAGCTTATCCACCACTCTCCAGGCAACCTGGTAATTAATCAGTGTGGTTTATACTTTGTAGGTATTTGGAGGCAAGTTAAATAACTAAAATATTTCGAAGAATATGTATGCCGTGAAGACAGTACTGAATGCTACCAATTTCTAAAAAAAAGGGACTTTGTTTTAGAAGCAGAAGCTGATTTTACAATCAAACTTGTGTAACCTTGAAATGAAGAACATTAAGATGCAGGCATTGTTTCTTTCCAAACAGCCTTCTCTCTCGCCCACTGTCTTATTCACCAGTTTTCTTTTAACTTCAATTGACAACTTTTCCTGCATAACTTTCACAGCATCTAAGGCTTCTCTACATCTATTAATTTTTTTATAAGAATCACCATGATGAGTTGCAACCAGATCCTAAAATACTTTTACCTTAAAAAATATCACAACAATTCGAAACACAGATTTAAAATATGAGTATAACACCAAAGGTAAACTGCATCCACTACACTTGCAGCAATTTGTGATCTTAATCCACTGTAGAAATCTCTCAGGTCTAATGCACCATCAAAACATTCACCAGCAATAGTTTCATACTTGAGCCCAATCTCTATAAAGTTTGACTTTAATAATTTATTGCAATGCCAGAAGTTTTCTTTCATGGGATGCACTGAAATTAAACATTCTCGTACTGCCCCCTCTTTCACATGGCAAATAATTATTCGTTTGATATCTTAAGAAATCTACTTGAATGCTGTATCTTTTGTCACCTATTTCATCTGATTGCTTCAATGATTTTCATGAAATGCATTTTCTGTAAAAAAAAGTTACTATATCTCTATGACCCATACCTTTGAAGCTTGACTTTACATAATTTTTCTATGTCTTTCACTTACTCTGACATATTTGTCTAGATGGTTTTTCAAAGAAACACCATACTCCATACTAAATGCAAAATTATTTCTAAAATGTTTCCATGATTAATATCTGGATTGCAAACATTGAACAATAATTCATTTGTCTGACTTAATTTTCTGGAGGAAGAGTAGAAATGTTGTTTCCTTTATAGTCTTTAAATTTAACTCCGGAACACAAGATCTTTGACTGTCTTTTACACAATTCTTCTTTCTCTGTTTGCCTATTTTTCTAAAAATCTTTAAATGGTTTGAGGTAAAAGACTAATCCTGCTTCTGTGATTACTTGTATAGCAAGTTTTTTTTTATTCCCATTGAGACCAAATGACTAATTATTGTTCACTGTAGTTTCCTTTAATAACAAAAGTGGAAATTTGTGATTTTTTTTTGTAGATTTTAATGTTGTAAGCCAAACAAATTTCAGTATTTAGTACTTTTCAAGTTTGAATGCAAACACACTAACTTAGTTTTAAGATATATCGCCTTTGTATTCAAAGATCTTTTAAAAGATTTTTAACAGAAAATGTGAAACAATTTCAAATGTTCTCTAGATTTTTCACATTTGTGTTATTGCAGACAAACAATCAAAACAATGTTGTTGTCAAAAGATGGTATTCAAGGATGTTAATTATAACTTGTAAATAAAATTTTTAGAACTCATGAAAGTAAAGAACATGTTATAATACATTACTTCTGCCACATTCAGCAAACATATTAGTGGTCTGGGTGTTATTCATATCAACTTTTATGAACAACAACTGTAATGGTGTGAACAATATTAAATGCAAATATTATTAATTTTATTTAAGTCAATCACAAATCAGATTTTTAGGATAAGGATTAATAGCACAATATTATTCATTTATTTTATTTTTAATATTAATTATTTTATTATTGTTACTATTTTATTTGAATTAATTTTACTATCATTCAGAAGTAGACCAGCAAAGCAGTCTTCTTGTTCTTGGAGTGGATTGAGTATCAATAATGATACTGATTTTAGCCATTTTCTGTTACTTTATTATTAGTTTTCTAAGAAAAATAGATCAAACCAATCTTTAAGAAGTTTGAATGTAGAAATTATTACATGAATGACATGTCATGAATGATCTTTTACATTACAATAAAAAAAAAAAAGGCAATAATGTAGTGTGGACCAAGTTTAATTTAGTATCAAAAGTATTCAGGCAGTGGTATTTTTTATCAGTATATCATTATGCAGATTTACAATATGACATTTTAATCTTTCTAAATTAACAATATAAGAAAGTGTGATTTGGTGATTAAAACATTACGACATAAGATAATATTATGAATAATTAAACTAAATTTAACACACAAACTGTCTTATGAATTTTGTAAGTAAGTCTTGTAAACAGATCATTTGGGTGTTGATGATGTGGAATTCATTTGTGGTTTCATACTGTTACATGTATGTTTTTAAATGAAGTTATCTAGTATTACCAATGTACAGGTAAGACCTGCAGATAGAATGCCTGAGTATCACCACGATGTTTCAAGCATTAGTTTATTAAACAGAATTATATGGTATTACCCATATAAAAAAAAACAAAACCTGAGTGTTTTTTAATATCATATTTCCTTAACAAAATACTTTTAAGTAAAATAAATTGAAAAGTTTAGTAAAACGTTATTTAAGATATAAGATATTATGAATCAGCAAACTAAACTTAAATTTTGTAGCATTTCACAATTCACTGTTTATGAGCCAGTATGAAAATTATACAGATATTAGACAAAGGTTAAGAGAAAAGAGAGAGAGAGAGATAAAATAATATCACATTAAAAGTAGCAGATGTGAGTATTACTGTTGACAGCCATCTTTATTGGAACGGCCTGTAGTAGGCAAAGTCTGCCATTACAGACTAGTACTACAGCCATACCACAATGATTACAAGGTTGAGTAGAATACAGAGCTACACGGATATCTATAAGTTTGGCCAGAACACAATAAAGATATCTTATCAGTCTGTACACAACTGAAATTTACATCATTATCACAAGTGACTTAAATGTACAACAAAGTAAAGTAACCACTCCAGAATTTATTTAAATGCAACATTGGAACTTTCTGGAAAAATTGATGCTGCTGTCAGGTGTTGCAAAGTACAATTATATATGACCCCAACAACTGGACCAGACAGGATAAAGGAACTGAGCAGCAACTCATACATGTGTAAACTTTTTTTTTTTTTTGGGGGGGGGGGGGAGTTGCAAGACTAGTGTACAGATACTAAAGTTTTGAATGGTTGAAATTCACAAGAAAACGATTACATTCCTCAAAAATCATTTTAACGAACTTGGAGCGTAGCCCTATAAATAAATTTCATCAAGAATACTAGTACAGTGGTTAGTTCCTTTCTATCTGGCTTTACATTAATCTCAGCTAGAACAAAATAAATGTTTATTGACAGACATGTTATTTTATCAAAAAGTTAGCATTAAAAAACAATTGCAGATAAAAAAAATGCAAATATATTTGAATATTGATTTACAGAAAGAATAATTTAGTCTTTTTATACATGCACACACATGCAGTCATGTGATTGCAGTTAAAGATAGGATGTGATTACACAGAACTGTCATTGAAATACAAGCATTACCAACATTTTTACTTATCATCACTAATACTTTCAATCCTTATATCACATCTAGCTTTAAGTAAAAGGAAGCAGAGATTCTGAAAAGACATAACAGCTACAAAACTTTTTATCCAATAAATTTGTTCAAAAAAACATTTTCTTGCTTATTTGTGGGAAAAATGTTATAACTTTGCTTCTGAATTCAATGTAAAGTGGGTGGTGGACAGGGCAACAGAAAAGATAAATCTATCTATTTACAATAAAGGAACTTGTCACAGAAATTAACTGAGCTATGAGATATCTAATACTTTTTCTCGGACAAAATGAGCATTGTACACTTTATAAAACGTACTAGTATGATGTTAGACTGGTTTGTACACAACTGTACATTAGCAATCTCTACACAAAGCTGGGAGTACAAGTAGAAAGGTATTCTTTTCTATGCTGTGACTATCTAAAGTTTGTTCACAAAATGTTAAAGGTTACATCTGCACAGAAAAAAAAAGTTGGGTATGTAGTGTTAGATAATTTTTCCATTTGTTAGGTTTTCATCAGTTACTTAAATAATTGTGCTTTTTTAAAAAAAAAAAAAAGTTATAACCATGCAGCAAAATACAACTTGATTGTTCAACACTGAGAAAGTACACACTACCTCTATAGATGGAAGTCCACACAGTTTGGTGGTAGAATCTGTGCATTATATTCTTTGTTGATGATAGAGGGACAATGTTCTACATTGGAGACTGTCACTGAAACAACAGTAAAGAGGTTATAATCTTGCTTGAGACTTATTACAGAGGAAGGATATTACGTACTGATATGACCATTTCTTTCACTATTCGGAAATGGTTGACGTATTTCCTGTGCTTTGCACAAATATTTTGCACCAATACAGTACTTAACAATAGCTCTTCAGCACCTTAACAGGTTACATTATGCAACTTCTTTGGAGGAAAATGTCAAAAGTTATTGTGTAGCAGACTTTCCTCAGGTCTTGCTAGCAAGAAACTCTTTACAAAATCTTCCGAGCAAATGACTATAAAGACTTTAATCAAAAGTTATGATTGACACTATCATCACACCATGACTACCTCCTCCTCTCCACAAAATAGGAAGCGAAACTGATCAATCATTGTTTGCACTAAGTCTTCTAAGTGTGGCCTCATTCTTTCAAACATTCCCATATCATTGAACTCTAGAGGCAAAAGTGTGGGCCACCAGCAGATAGCCAGATTTTTGCTGTCCATGCTGTTCAGTCGGCAGTTCTCAGCCACCCTAAGTAAAAACACAAATGTTCTTAATAACCAAGAAACAGAAATTAAATACTAAATTATTATTAACATTGTTTCCTCTCTCTCAAAACTGTAGGTGTAATAAAATGTTGACAACTGACATAACACTAATGACAATTCAGAATTGCTCTCAATATAACAAAAAAGCAAAAATAGCAACAGAGAAGAAAACATGCCTTGAAGAGAAGAAACTGTTAAAACAAATGGACAAATATTACTCAAAGAAGACACAAAATAACTGAAACAGTAAATCTTTATTTAACAAAGCTTTCACATTTTACAAAGTTCATAACTTACCTAACAAAATGCTGAAAGACAAATTTCAAAACTTCAAAATTTGCTCTTGGTATCTTTTTGAGGAGATCACGAAGGGCAAAAAGACGACAGCTCCTGTCTTGAACATCTGTAACAAAATAATACATACCTGGTACCATAAACAGAGAGTTGAAACTTTCAACTATTATTTTTTATTTACTAAAAATATTTATATTTGAGGTTTACATTTTTAATGTAACATTTTTTTCAATGAAAATTTTTTTACAGTATGTCACCACATTAAACCAAGGCATCAGTTAAGAAGATTTCAAAAAGGACACATTAATAATAAGCAAACTATCAACCCTCTCAGAACTGATGGGATGTCACAATATCCTTGAAACTTAGGCATAAACTTACTAATTAGTATCTAGCTTCTGCTTAAAAATTAAAAAATTCATCCTAGTATTTCTATCATTTTTCCACATTGTGAAATTTATAAAATTTTGTTCTCAGTCACTGTTTTATAAAAACAGGAAATATAATTAGTTTTGTCTTACAACTAGATTTTTTTGGTTGATGATGATCAGAAAATTCAATTTTAAACATCCACTAAGTTTCAGCACAACTGATACTATTTGACAATTTTTTTTATACTTTAATTTTGTCAATTGCAATAGTCACCACTTCTGGCTATAAATCAGAAAAAACACAGCAAACATTGACAAAAGTTTATCAGTGACCTAGGACAGTGCTTCTCAACCAGGGTTCTACGAGAAATTGGGGTTCAACAGAATGCAAGAGCTCCACATATTCTAATGTGTAACTACGTACTGGTCACATAATTGCAATCTAACTTCATCGTATTTAGTAGTATAGCATGTGTCATAATGACAAAACATAACAAGTCACTGCAATGTTTTAAATTAGTGAGCTGCATTAAACATATGTACTCTGTCAAAAAATTATACATACAGTATTACAGTAAAATGTTTTGTAACAAACACTGTGAAGGGTTCTGTGACTAAAATTTGATGCCAGAAGTGTTCAGTGGATTTAAAAAGGTTGAGAACAACTGACCTAGGACCACCTATCATGCTATGTATTGTGATTTTTACCAAAAATAACTCTTGACTGAGATCCATCTCTATCTAATAAACATATTTCTTTTTAATAAGTAAGGATTTGAACCACAAATTAATTTGTCATCATCCATAGTACTTGTAAGAACCTAAGTTTAACTGATGTCTTGTCATAAAAGAAAATTTTATAGCTTTCACACAGATATAGTGTAACATGAAAACATTTTGAAGAATGAGAATTTCTAATGATATTATAACAAGATTCTGAAATCCATGGTTTCTTTTATGTGTTCTAAACTTCTCATTACATAACTTTGTTCACCTCTACTTAAACCTCTATCTACTCTACAATGATGTAAATAGAATATAACCTATTCTATCCAATCATATTTAGCAATTATCTCCTGTATCTTTCAAAGTTGAACTTTATTATTAATTGCTCAGACCATATGCAATAAAGGGATGTAGTAATAAAACCAACAGAGAAGGGAAATCAAATGATAAAAACAACAAATCATTAAATTTTCAAGGAATTATAGTTTTATATAAAATATAAGTTTGTATTTTATGATGATCAGAAAAGTGTTGAAAATAAACTGAGGTGGTACTCCTTGGAGTTGCACAAAATTTGTGTTTCATTTTTCTTTGTAAATTACACTAACTAAATGCTATATAATGACAATATTTATTTCAAAACGTTTTTAATTTGAAACAGAATGAGAATTATTATTTTTACTTAAATTTTGAAATTTGATACACCTAAAAAATACTCTGTAGTCCAAACAATTCTGATGTTCAAAAAGGAGACAAAAAATGTTTTCTGATTAAAGTTGAATATTTCTCTGTGACTTAATTTTTATTCACATGAATAACAAAATCCTCATGATTTTAGGATAATAACTGGAAATGATTAACAAAATATGAGGCCAAATACTGTTGGATAACTAATACATAAAGAGTAATTTACAGCTAGAACCTACAATGACAAATTTTCAGCTAGTTGTTTCTCTGTGGCTTGTGGTTATAAAGCATCATTATTCTGACTACAAATCAAAACCAAGTAAGTCAAACAAAAGAAACTTCTCAAAGAAAGAAAAGAGTTAACAGCAAAATTAATTTTGTAGACATAAATAAGTAGCTAATGTATATTCTTAATTACAATGGTTTCCTTTTCCACCTACTTGATATTTCACTCAGTTCTTCCATAACAGAGACAGAAAAGAGGGGTGGCAACCTTTTGGAGAAGAAATCTTTTAGGGCTGTAGCAACAGCATTAACAGGAATATCAAGATCTCTTATCGAAACCTGTGGATCTGGGGGAAAAAAATATCATGAAGTTATTCTTCACAACTGGCTTAACCTTGTCTGTTAAAGTAAATTACCTGAACAGTCCTGATTTCTTCACCTTTATTTATATATTCAATACATCAGCATGTAATGATGACTCCACAGAATGTCAATATGTTGATACTGGGATTTCTGTTTGTTTGTTTTGAATTTCGCACAAAGCTACACGAGGGCTATATGCACTAGCCTTCCCTAATTTAGCAGTGTAAGACTAGAGGGAAGGCAGCTAGTTATCACCACCCACCGCCAACTCTTGGGCTACTCTTTTAATAACGAATAGTGGGATTGACCGTCACATTATAATGTCCCCACGGCTGAAAGGGCGAACATGTTTGGTGTGACGGAGATTCGAACCTGCAACCCTCAGATTGCGAGTCGAGCATCCATTCCCCACCTGGCTGGAGATTTTTGTTTTTAGAAATTGTATGTATGTATAAAACAATGTAAAACAGTAGCAAAGAAAAAATAACAAATTTTTTTCTCATATATTAATACAAATTTTCTATTCTAAATGAAACAATTTTTTTAACACAAGCATACAAAACTTGACATGACTATTAGTTATTCAAAGTTTACTACATACCTTCATCAAACTTCTGATATAACTGGTCCATATGAGCTCTGTTTCCTGGCACTCTGTAAATACCTTCAGAGTCTAGCCCTTCTTCCTCTATAAACCTGATGCACTTTTCCACAAATAGTGGGATTTGATTATCTTCTGATTGGGCAAAGCTTTCCAGTCCTTGAATTGTCTGATTTACGTTTCCTCCCTTTCCCTGGGCCGTTTTCTTTTTCTTTTTTTCTGTAAGCCGCTTCTGTTCAAAAGCAAAAGAGAATTGCTACAGATCTATGTTCTGCAAGCAGTTTGAAAATAGTGCTTTTGAAGAAAAAAGTAGAAACGTGAAGCTAGACTCAAATCTGATTAGATGCAAGATAACATAGGAGCAGTTCAATTAGTAATAAAATGATTAAAAGATAAACTATTAAGTAAAATAGCCTATTTACTAAAAGATTTTAAGAGCATTTCTTCCACACTGCTTCTTCAGTGGTTTAGTTTTTAATTGGATTATATAACATTATCTAATCATTAAAATTTCACACAAATGCCTAAAGTAATATTACAAAATTCACTTAAGTTTCACAAAGATATGACCCTAAAATTATTCAAATCACCTTTAATCACATGTAAACCATCAGAAATAAAGATATACAAAACTGACTTTTTCCTAATTGCAAAGGAAATGATCAAATTACTTAAAATATTGAACTTGATTTTTTTTTAATGTTGAAGTAATCACAAGTATCTCAAATGAGCTAAATATTTGTTTGAAAAAAAAAATTAAAAGCTCTTAAACTATTTTATTCAATCATTCAACCATAAATACCTCTTCCTTCAATCGACGTTTCTCTAACTTTTCATCTTCCCGAAGTTTCTTATCCTTCTTCCTGGATGTCTTCTCCCCATCTTTGATCATTCCAGATTTCTGAATAATAGTTTGTTAGATTAAAAAAAGCAGAAAATAGTTATTATCCAAAAATAGTTTACATTAATAAAATGAATTAACATGTAAAGTGTGCTGATTCAAGGAGAAAATGTATACAGACACAAAGAAAAAAATCAAACCAATATTACAGCCTGATGCACAGTTAATTTTTACTTTATAATTTCATAAGTTCAGAAACCTTGAAAACAGTTTTATTCTGAAGCTTTTATTACATATTTTTCTTTTATGAGAAAATTAAACAGAATAAAAGTAGAGTAAGCAAGGATATTTGTAAATTTTCTAAGACATCAATCAATTAATTGTTTTAGGTGTCAAAATAAGAACCTGTCCAATTCTTGTTTTATTCTTCTTTTTCTATTTGTTCCTAGGCTAGAATGAAACAGTGAACAAAGACTACACGTTTGGTGAAACTTTTTGAAACGAGCAATGGATATAAAAAGACGTCACTATACTGCATAGAATTTTGTTTTTTTGTATCTCTAAACAAAAAATCAACTATGATGTTTCCTGATATATAATTACATAGACAATGACCATATACTTTTATATCTTGATATACAAGAGCAATGTAAATGTCTAAGCTCAAGGTATTGTTACATCTCCGTTTGTTAATTGATTTTTCCGTAACTTCGTTCCAACGAAACTTTAACGACACAAGTCTTTACTTAATAAAACTGGTTTATTCTTTCCAAATATAACTCTGCGATACACTTAATCTCAATACTCGCGCTAAAACAACACTATAACGAACGAACGTTAACTTCAACAATACCCTGTGACTGCAGTTCAATTACTCACTATCTACACACACATTACCTTCCATTACCGCGTCACGGTTTCCCCTCTTATATATACCAGCCTACCCTACTAGTAAATACA